CTCCTGAACGGATGCATATTTTTAGGTGAAATTTGAAATCTGTCGATAAAATTCGATGTAGATTACGACTGAATTTAAAAAAATGGAATACTACATAAAAGCAAAAAAATTTTTAGGGGTAGCAATAAGATTTTTAAAAATTTTTTCGCAAACTTCGATCGCAAAAATTTTTTGAAAAAACTCATCATTTAGGTTCAATATCATCCTCCATAAATTTCATCTGGATCCCATGCTCTGAAGCTGAGATTCAGCGTATCCAAAAACGCTGCGCCGCCTATGTGCTGAAGAAATCTTTGGGATTAAATTCATAACATTATTTTTTGTTTTGTATTTTTGAAAAATTGTCAAAGTCATCTTTGGATTTGTTCTAATCAAAGTTTTCGTTTTAAACTTTGAATACAACATCAGTCAATCAATACACGAATGATTTATTCATTATCGATTTTATCACATATAATCATAGTTATTTAGAAAGATCTATAAAAAATGCTTCAAGAATTTCAATGACTTTAGAATCCTTATTAATTAGAATTTTTTTTTAAAGTAAGACCTTACAAGAAACACTAATCGACGATCTTGCCCTATTCTTTTCAGGTTCTTGTTTTTCTTTACTTTCAGACAAGATTCCTGTATTCAGGCAAGATTCTTTTCGACAGGAAAGTAAAAAGAATCTTGTCTGAATTTCAAGATGACAAGAATCTCGTCTGATTAATCAGAAATAAAAGAATCAGGCAAGAATCATAAGATATTCAAGATGTATTTAACGTTCAGACAAGAATCTTTTTCTTTTCTTTTAAAAAGAATCTTGTCTGAAAATTATGAAAAAACAGAAACTGGAAAGAAGTATAAGATATTTTAAATTTCTTAGTATTCAGACAAGATTCTTATGATAGGAAAGAAAAAGATTCTTGCTAGCTTTCCAAGATCAACGGCACGTGATGTCGTCTTTGTATAATCAAATATATAAAGGCAATGTCTGAACGTTATTTATTCATTATTCATTCGATAGGTAGTACAATTCACTTTGAATATGTACTTTTCCTAAAGCGTTCATTTCATTCAAATGACATCTAGCAACTCATTTTCAATTGAATGTATAAAAAAAGTTTCCATTCGATATCGAGAAAACAATGGAATATATGATATCTTTTTTTCCATTGTTTTCAGAAAACTTACACTTATTGAACTCATTTCGATATTTTACCAATCCATATCTTTCTATTTTATTTTTTTTAGATTTTCTTTCATTATCCACAAAAGTGTTTTTTTAATGGACGAAGGAAATCTCAATTCGTTCAAAAAATTATTATTTGATAATGCTCGTGGTAATATAGGTAATATCTATATGCACTTTATATCTTTTTGACTCATATACTATTTTTTTAGAGTCATCACCACATACAGATAAACAACGTCAATGGCGTGCCAAGAAAAAAGATCAACATAATCGTACTCAATTATCTATACATCGTTTACTAGTTGAACAAATTGTAAATAACTTATTTTAATTGAGCTAGCTCAAAATAGAAATTTTTACACTGTTCTTTTTTTAGAATGAATCACATCAATATTTATCTGATATTAATGAAAATTTTGTTTTCTTTTTGTGTTAAAAACTGAAACTGCTTTAATAACACGTGAAATTAAACGTATTTTTTTGTTTTTTTTTTACATTTTTTTGTACATGGTGTGCAAAGCTTATAATAAAATGATACGAAAAAGAGAGTAATAAGAACCTGCAAAAGGAGTTGTTTATGTGACTCCAGTAACATTCAGTAACTTCTATGTCCTTGGTAACCAGTCTCGTTTTTCTCTCTCCTCAGACTTGCCGCTAAATGCGCCCATATGCACACTTTATCAGAGCGGGACAACTCGATTCAAAAAAAAATTTATGAAATAAAATTTTAGAAAAACAAGGCTCTTGATTCGTTTCGTAATAGATCATTAGAACTTTCGTCTTACAGGCATTAGGATAACATATATATTTCTATCAACCTGAACCATGGATAAGGTCAATCGAAATTCATGGTTTGAAACTAGAAAGTACAACATCCATGGTACTAAATAATGCAACGATTCATCTTCTATTCAATGTGAACAATCTTATTTATACCAATTGTGGTATCATGAGATTCATCTCTCGAAACAAGTATGAGTAAAACTCAATCATCGACTGATGAAGAACAAAGTGTTGCTTTTATTATTTGATTTTATTTTATTCGAATATTTTCATCATCCTAAAGTGTTAATATGAAGAAAAGAGATGACTTCACGAACAGCTTTATTCAAAGAAATGAGACGACTATCTTCTAATGGACAATCGAGATCAGGACTTTGTTGACCATTGTAAATGACATGAAGTGTAGTACCAAATGAGACACTCTTTATGCAAAATATTGGTGGATATTGATTGAGTGGTGAAGCTTGTTGAAGAGCTTGAAAGACACTGATGACAAGAGCAGATGGAAGACGAATACTCATTTGTGTTGTTGTACTACTTGGTGTTGATGGTGTAGTTGAAGAGATTTGATGACCTCGATGTGTCACAGACCATTTGACAATACCTTCTCTGTGTAACTCAATC